TCATCTAATTAAGCTCCTGCCAGAGGATCATTCTCATACACTATTGAGAGGACAGCCCAGGCAGGAATCAGCTGAGACTCGGCTTCTGATACCCCTCTCACCCAGAAAATTCATTGCACCTCTGCAGGCTAAGATGCAGCAAAGTTCCTGAGGATGGAGATCAGAAGCTCACTGGCTTCTAATTTTCTGTCATGGGAAATTTCACAGTATAGAAAACAAACAAGCACAAACAAATAACACAGGCCATGGACTGCACAAAGGTCATGCAAAGGCAATTTATATTATAACAAAAGCAAAAATAAAAATAACAAGGGACCACATATATCAGTAAAACAAGATTACATCATTAAATGTGCAAGTCCATAAATAGTTCACATAAGTTCATAAGTAGTTATAAGTTCATAAGACTTCGGATTTTGATCTTTGTTTTGAGGGTTCTTCTTCAAAGAGTTCAAACTACTAGAATTGTAAGTAAAATCCAAAACGTTATTATCATAGTAACAATAAACAAAACCATATCCTATATACGAAAAGGTAAATATTACCTTCAAAACTTCAATCATGTATATGTAGGAAAAATCCTTCACATAGCACTCATAAAGCACAGAAGCCTTCAGACTAGTAATACAGGAAAAATTCTGAAAGGGGGGGGGACAAGTAAATACATTTATAGTCACAAAAATTACAAAATACTGTTTTATCTATTGGGAGTCAGTTAAGCACAAAAATACAGTTCACTTGTAAGTAGAGCAGGTACAGTTCAGTTGCTTAAAAAAAACAAAACAATTATCAACCTCCTCCACAATCTCACCAAACAGCTCAAACAGCTTTCATATGAATTTGCTGCTCTCTTTTATGCTACTCTTGCTCCAGCAATGCAGCTGATGATAACTTTGTAGCAACAAAATAGCAGTAGAGTAAAGTTTATTAGGCAGCCAAGGTTCCCTGATTCGCCGCTTGCCCATGCTCCGAGCTGCCGTTCTTATCCTTAAAGCTTTTATTCTTTCCAACTCTTCCTTTCATTTAGCAGAGTTCTGTGCTTTTTTTTTTGGCGAAGTATTGATATCTCCAGCTTATTAGGGCTATTTTTCACCGAAGAATCTCCACTTTGGTTCTGGTTGCCGCGTTTACCCAGCAATGAAGCTGGGTGTTGCCCCACCCTCTGCACTGGAGCAGGTTTCAGTTTACGGAGCCAGCCGCCGCCACTCTCATTTCTGAAATTGAGCTCCTTGCTTGAAAAGACTTCCTTGTCTTTTTCTGGGCGTCCAAAGTACCCCCAGCTGGGGGCCCCTGTCTTCCCCGAAGGTAAGGTGAAGGGCGGTGGGATCAGGGGTGTGTCCCGTCTGCGTCCGACCTCGTTGCTACCGGAACCGGATCCTCTATGAACTTCCAAAATCCTTTATGAAAATTGTAGAAGAGTTTAAGCTCATTGATGCATGGAGGATCAGGAATATTAACACAAAAGATTATACTTTTTTTTCTAACAGACATAAATCATGGTTGAGGATGGACATGATCTGGATGTCGATAGATGCAATCAATGATATTAAAGAGGTAGAAATTCTACCAGCGACGTTTGCGGACCATAATCCAATTATGTGTGTATTAGCTGATATACCAAAAAGTAAAAGGTGGTCCTTGAACACTTTACTTCTTAAAGACAAAAAAATTGTATTAGAGTCTAAACAAGAACTTTAAAATTTCTTTAAAGAAAATATTCAACCAGAAGTTCCATTACAAATTTCATGGGATGCCTTTAAGGCATACGCCAGGGGTTGGTTTATCCGACAAAATACATGGAAGAGAAAACAGGAAAATAAAGAATTGAATTTGATTAAAGAAAGAAGAAGCAAAAATTAAACTGTCTAATGAGAATATTATAACAGCTAAGAATAAAATCAAACACTTACAACATCAAATAAATAGTATCTTAAGAAACTGCTAGAAAGTTAAATTATACAAGACAATTCTACTTTGAACACTCAAACAAACCATCGAGATGGCTTGCGTACAAGTTAAGAACTGAGAGGGAGAAAAAGATAATTAAAAGTCTGAAAGATGTGTCCCTGAAGAATACAGATTCTTACTTGTATAGATAGACTATGTCACCTGTTTCAATGAAGCCATTCCTTTAAAGAGCATGATTAAATAAGGCCTTGATATGTTGTTTTCATGACTGGGTCTACCAAAGGATATAGATATGTACAAAACAGCACTATTTACATCAACCCTTATGAAACAATTGTGCCAGATGCTGAGGATCCATTAAATTTGCATATGTGTGCCACCCCCAAATGGATCTACTTGGCAGAACAGATTAATCACACATTGAACAAAATACTAAAAAGGACCATGTTAGACAATCTGTCAAATGGGACCTCTATGTCAACTCCCTGCTATTTGCAGTCCAGAAAACTCCACAAGGCTCAACCAGATTTGCTGTATGGGCACCCATAATTTGCTGTGACTTGCTACAGGACTGGTGGGCTCTTCGTTATCATCCAGGCAGGACCTCGCCCAGTACAGGAAACAGGCTATACAGCTCAAAAACCTCCAGAAGATGCACAATGACAGCAGAAATTCTGCTTTAACAAGGTAAGAGTTTTAAGCAGGAGATCAGGTCATAATGAGTGGTTCAATTCTTCCGATACAGAGAACAAAATTATGAGTGGTAACTGGTAACACAGCACTTGGGACCTTGAACCAAGAGATATGGTGTGGCATCTATGGAGCCAAGAAAAGGGTCTGTGTGAACATGTGAAGGACTGCCACCCAAGGCTGACAACAGGCCAATAAAGAAGAAAAAGAAGCACACACCCTTGGACTGTGTCCCATGCCTTCAGTGGTTCCTCTGGTGACAGCACAGTTAACAGATCACCAGGCTCACTAGACAAACACCCTCCTAGTAAGTTCAAGTTTATTATTATGATCCAAGATCAGAATGTAACATAATTTGGGTTACTGTTCATGAAGTAGCCAGGGAATACCACCCTAGTACAATGTAACATTGGGATACAGTCTAGGATCATGATCTGGGAAGTATGGTGTTCTGTACCCCAGAAGCAGTAGAATACAGCAGAAATGGAAGTGCATGCAAAAAATTTAATCAATGGGGTTTTGACAAATGGATTTAAAATAGAAGAAGGAACCTGTCAAGGATGTCCACTCTCAACTTCTCTTCATTCTTGTGTTGGACAAGATTCCAGTATTGAAGGATTAAAACTAGAAGGAGAGGAGTTTAAACTAAAGAGTTATGCAGATGACATGGTCCTTACAATTTCAAACCCTCAACAATCTCTCCAACACGTAATGGAGCAAATTGACATGTTTGGATCCTTTTCAGGATATAAAATCAACAGAAAGAAAACCAAGATTATTTCAAAAATTTTAAATACTCAAGAAGAGGAAGATATTAAGAAAATTTCAAGATGTGACATAACACATAATCCAGTCAAATATTTAGAAATATATCTCAAGGGACAAAATGATACATTATTTAAGGACAATTATATGACAAACTGGTCTAAAATACAAAAAGATTTTGAAAGATGGTCCAAATTACAACTATCCTGGCTAGGGAAAAAAATTGGTATAAAAATTAATGTTTTACCAAAATTAAACTTTTTGTTACAGATTATTCCAATTTCAGTTCCTGAAAAGGCTTTGAGCGACTGGCAAAGACAAATAAATAAATTTGTATGGAACAATAAGAAGCCAAGAATAAAATTTAAAGTACTACAGGATGAGAAGAAAAGAGGTGGTCTGGTAATACCTAACATTAAATTATACTACCAAGCTGCTGGGCTATTTTGGATTTCAGATTGGATCAGAAGTCTTAATGAAAGATTGATAAAATTAGAATCTTCAAATCTCGATGATGGATTACATAGCTATAATTTTAAAAAACTATTCGAAAAACAAAACCCAAGATAAAAGACATATAAACAGAGATAGTTTATTTCAAATTTGGGAAATGCTACAAGAGAATCAGCCCTGCAATTCCACTAACAATGTCACCAATAGATACTTATTATGGCAATTACACAAGGAGAAATGACGATTTTATAACTTATGGCAATATGATATACTTGCAAGGTGGCATCAAGATGTGGCAAGAGATTAAAGAATAAGGAAAGGAGAAACAATGGTGGATATACTTTCAGATTGCTTCCAGGTTAAAAAATGATACCTGCACTAAGAGACGAGCTATTAATTGACTGATCGTCTCACAATCTAAAGACCATTTATTAGGACGAATTTACAAGCTATTGCTTCACTATGATTCCAAAAGATGTTCTCATGCAGAACATCAAAGATTGTACTGGTGGTCATCTGTAAAGAAGCGGAAGAGGTTAGGAAAGAAATGTATATACAGACATCTTTTATTGTAAACCTGCCTGTAGTTTTAGATCCATCTGGGGGCTTTAGATCCATCTGTTGTGATCCACACTCTGACATCTTTTGTGGACTCAATTCCGAAATTTCTTCCTAAAAACTTTACATTTCGCATTTTGTGGGATTCTATCATTATTTGCACCGCTGCCGGAAACTGCGTTAAGTTAGTTTACACACTTCCAAATTCGAGCAGTAAAAGCGACTTTTTGATCACGCTCGCTGCTCAATGAACCTCACAGCTTAAATAAAACCAGGACAGGATCGCTCCTTGCGACGTCTCTCCTCTTTTCAAAGAGGCCACGCAAAGCCGAGAAAGCAGAGCACAATCGGCACTCAACCCCCTCTTTTCTTCTCCGGCCTTAAAGATTTGCGTCCAAAAGGTCGTCCCTCCCTCTCAGTCACTCCCTTTTGAGTCCCCCGGCAATGACGTCAGAGCAAAGTTGGTTGCCGTGGCGACGATGGAATTCGCACCTGACGGCTGTCGTGAAGCAGTGGGAAGCGAGTAGGGAAGAGGAGGAGAAAAAAGGTGTTGGGGGGGGGGGGAGCCCAAAGCCAGCCCTGCCTCCCCGCACTCCCCTCTCCCCCTCTTGAGAGTGCGCCGGCCGCACCCGCCGCTTCGGAGCGGCATTGTTTGCTATGTAGGGACCTTGAGGCGGGGGCGCAGATCCAGAGGCCGCAGCGCGCCTCCTCCTGAGTTGGGGTGGTGGTGGTGTCCCGGAGGCTGTAGCTGCAGGAGGAGGACCCAGTCCAAGGCCCCCAGGGGGGGCCCCTCGCGGGCGGGATGTTCTCCAAGAAGCCCCACGGCGATGTGCGGAAATCTACACAGAAGGTGCTGGACACCCGCAAGGACCCGCTCACCCGCCTCAAGCACCTGCGCGTCGTTATCGGTGAGAAGGGGATCGCGGCCCAAGGCCCAGCTGGGGCGGAAGGGAAGGGAAGGGAGGGCTGGGGCTGCTCAGTCTGGGGTTTGGGCTGAGGGGCGCGAGGGATACCTGCCCTCTGCGGGGCGGGGGAGTCTAGTGTAAATATTTTCCTTCCCTCCTCTCCGTCCACCCCACGGGGTGAGGGTAGATGTGTAGCGAGATGAGCTGCGCTTCCAGAGAACGGAAAAAGCTGCATCCCAACTCTTCGTTGGCATGACAACCAGGACACTGAAGGCAGTGTGGGGATGAGAGGGAAGGGGTCTCTGGAGAGCCTAAAAATATCTCCACTTTTAAAATACATATATCATCTCCATTTCAGGCTGGTATCTCGAGGCCTGTTTGCATAGCAGTGCATAGTTGTAATGTTTAAGGAGTTGTTGACTCTTGGATGAAATGAAATCAGGCTTTATAGGCATGGTTGGTCAGGTGACCTTCCTGTTTGCTGTGTGTGTTAAAGTCTGTACAGGTGATCCTAATTTTGATGGCCAGTTGTCTTCCAGTAGCCCTTAAACAGGGGGCGTTTGATCCAGTGCTGTTCTTCGGCAGGCTGTGCAGCTGAGTTAGAGGAATGCACAGTCTGGCTTCCTGTGGGGAGCCCATAGGGTGTTTCAGGGGAAATCTGTCTCTGGAAAACTTCCTGCATATTCCTACATCCACCCAAGACGAGTGTAGGAATTTGCTCAACCCCCC